AGGACATGAGCTATTAACCTTCATTGATGCATATTCAAGATATAATTAGATAAATATGCATGTACCCGAACAACACAACATTTGTGACTGATCAGGGACTTTACTGCTATAAAGTAATGTCTTTTGGCCTAAAAAATGTTGGCGCGACATATCAGCGACTGGTGAATATGATGTTTAATAAACAGATTGATCAGAATATGGGGTCTACGTAGATGACATGTTGGTAAAAAGCACCACTTCTGAACAACGTGTAACAGATTTAACGAAAGCTTTCAAAGTGTTACGACACTACCAAATGAAGCTTAATCCGACCAAATGTGTATTTGGAGTCTCTTCAGGAAAATTTCTAAGTTTTATGGTTAATCGTCGAGGAATTGAAGCCATTCCGGATAGAATCGAAGTTGTACTAGAGATGGAATTTCCCAAAAATTTGAAGCAACTCCAATGTTTGAATGGACGGATAGTTGCATTAAATCAATTTGTCTCAAGGTCCATAGACAAATGTTTGTCGTTCTTTAGAATTCTTAGAACTAAAGGAAAATTTGAGTGGACGGAAGAATGTGAACAAGCATTTAATAAGCTGAAAGAATACCTGGGTACAACACCTTTACTCAAGAAGCCTGAACCAGACGATTGTTTGTATTTATACCTTATAGTCTCGGACTCGACGGTCAGTTCAATCCTTATCCAAGATAATGGAGGTTGGCAAAATCCAATGTACTACACTAGCAAATTCATGACTAGTGCAAAAACTAGATATCCAAGCATTGAAAAATTAGCGTTGGCTTTGGTCACTTCTGCTTGGCGGTTGTGGCCGTATTTCCAAGAACATAAGATTGTTGTTTTAACAAATTTTCCTTTGCGTCAAGTTTTCCAGAAGCTGGAAACTTCGGGCAGATTGATGAAATGGGCGTTAGAATTGAGTGAGTATGACATCAATTTTGAGCATCGAGTGTCATTGAAGGGACAAGCAGCAGTGGACTTTGTTTGTTGATGGGTCATCTAATGAAAAAGGTTGTGGAGCTGGAATTCTTTTACAGTCTCTAGAAGGAACACGATTCGAGTATGCATTGAGATTTAATTTTAGAACGTCCAACAATGAAGCCGAGTATGAAGCTTTGTTGGTTGGACTCCAAATGGCCCAAGGTATGGGTGCAGCTTGCTTATTGATCCTTAGTGATTCCCAACTCATAGTTAACAAGATCGCCGAGGAATTTCAAGCAAAAGATGAAAAAATGGCTAAATATTTGCGAAAGGCCTTGGAAAATTTGGCAAAATTTATAGACTATGCGATCAGATAGATACCTCGTTCAGAAAATTCAAACACTGATGCTTTAGCAAGATTGGCTTCCGCTCATGAAACTAACTTAACTCGTATCGTTCCGGTCGAGGTGCTAGGCACACCTTCAATAAACGAAGAAGAATAGTGTAAATCATCATGCAAGCCCGCTGTTGGATGGATCCAATAGTCGAATTCCTCCAAGGAATACAACTAGAAGACGAAAGTGAAATAAAGAAGGCTAAGGAGACAAGTCGGTCATTATCTACTCCTGGATGGGGTGTTATATAAGCAGGGGTATTCCTTGCCACTATTGAAGTGTTTAACCCCAAATGAAACAGAGTATGTACTCCGCGAAATACATGAAGGAATTTGTGGAATTCATACAGGGGCCGAACTTTAATGTAAAAAATAATTCAACAAGGTTATTATTGGCCGAGCATAAGCAAAGATTCGGAAAAGTATGTGCAAAAATGTGATTAGTGTCAAAGGTATGCAGATATAATTAGACAACCACCAGAGAATTTAACATCAATCTCGAGTTCTTGGCCATTTGCGCAATGCGGAATTGACTTGATTGGGCCACTCCCGACCGAAAAGGGTCAAACAAAGTTTACCATTGTCATCGTTGATTATTTCACTAAATGGGCTGAAGCCGAACCCCTTGCAACCATAACGGAGGCTAAAGTAAGGAATTTTGTCTGGCGAAATATCATTTGTCGGTTCAGGATACTGTATGCAATGATAACAAACAATGAGAAACAGTTTAACAATGAAAAATTTAATAGTTTTTATGCTGAACTTGGAATCAAACATGTTACTTCATCACCTACTCTTCTGCAAGCTAATGGACAGGTCGAAGCAATAAATAAAATTCTGAAAAGATGACTAAAAATTTAGTTAGAAGAATTAAAAGGAAATTGGGTGGATGAACTCCCAAGTGTCCTGTGGTCCTATCGAACCACACTAAGGGACTGCACGAATCAAACCCCATATGCACTGGCATTCCGTTCAAAAGCAGTTATTCTGGTAGAAATTGGATTACCATTAGAGCAAACTGAGTGGCAGTTCGACGAAAAGCAGAACTCAGAAGCACTATGTTTAAACTTGGATTTACTTGAGGAACAAAGAAATTTTTCGCAATTACGAAACGCTGAGTATCTGAATCGGATGAAAAAATATTATAATGCGAGAGTTAAGCATCGATGCTTCAAACCAGGAGACCTGGTGCTAAAAAAAGTACTTCAAAAGACTGGGGCTTTAGAGCCTAATTGGATCGGCTCGTACAAGGTTAAAGAGGTTGTCCCAACTGGAACATACCAATTGATGGATTTGAACGAAAAGTAGCTTGTGCATCCCTGAAATGCCGAGCATTTAAAGATGTACTATCAATAATATATGTAATTCAATCAATACTTTTCAAATATTACTCAAATTAGGGACTATCACGTCTTCTATCTTCTGTTGTTATGCTGTTATGTACTCAGGATATTGTCAAGGTAACAAAAAAAGGGGGGAGGGATATTACCAGTTGAGGCCCCGGTCTCGCCACTTCTCCATGGTCAATCGCCTCTCCAGAAAGGCGATCTTCCTTTCCCTCACACGCCTATCTTCCTCCATGGCGTGTTTCTCTTCCTCCCATTTTTCCTTCTCCTCCTTTAGCGACTGGCATTCAAACTAAAACTTCAAGGCCTTAATGGTCGTTTCTTAAAGTTTGCTCTCGAAGTTAGCGACTTCCCTCTCAAGTTTCATAATTTTCCTTTCGACCGTCCGCAGTTCAAAGCGTGAGGGAGGCGCGACGTATCGTGGTCGTCAACTAGAGGAAGGTTCCTCAGCAACCGGCGAGAGAACTGGGGGGTTTAAAGGAACAAAGTATGGGGAAGACGAAGAAGAAGAGTCTCCCGAATGATCAGGAGATCTCCATGAAAGAGACGAGAGGACCGTTCCCCTCCTCGGACATTTCTCCGATCTCAAGACGATGAAAAGAGGAAGTGAAGATTGAATAAAAAGTTAAGAGAGGCGAAAATATTCAGGGATAGACAATTTCAAAATATGACCAAACAACTTTCGCTTTTCATTAATGCCCAACATAAAATAGGAAGATCTGTACTAATGTTTTAGGGACGAAATTACCCTCTTCTAGAATAATTTTAAAATGAATTTGTTATTTTTCCTTTTTCATGAGAGAATCCTACCTAACCATATTTATATAGGATAATTCAAATATTTTAAGAATTCTACCTATATTTTTCAATTCAAATAGTTTTCTAACCAATTTACTAACAAATATAAATAATTAGAAAATAGAAATAACACTCAAGCTAAAACAAATTGATGAACAAACACAACAAATAAAAAATACAGTGAACAAAGAAGCAAAAATACAATAAACAACAAAGGTGAACAGAGAAACAAAAGGATAACAAATACGGTGAACACAAAAATACAACAATTACGATGAACAGAGAATTAATACAAAAAATAAAAGCACTCTACCTCAAATAAAAAAGGTACACGAACTATAGAAACTCAACATATAGGCATCTCTCTCCTTTACCCCGCCCCACTTGCAACCCACTGCGTCGCCCACCATTGTTCCCTCGCTCCTCTCTAGTCAACTCGACTCTGATAAATTCCCTCTTTGATCGTCTCCCTCAATGTGATGTCTCCTTATAATTGGCAAATTCTATCTCAATATATATCTAAATTTATAATAATAGTGGTTAGGGAAAAAAAACTAGAATCAAGGAGAGATAAAATATAAGTGAGATAATGGAAGTTAGGATATTTTAATTTTAAAACTAATAACTAAATAGAAGGGTAAAAGTGTCAAGTATGAAACTTGAAAAACAGTTAGAAGAATATAAATGGATATTTTTTATTTTCAAGGATGATCTGACCAATTTTCAATATCGAGGTGATAAATAGAGATACCTACTATAAATTTTCAAATATTTAAATAGATTAATTTAGTTTTCGAAGCGTCAATATCGAGGTGATAAATAGGGATACCTACTATAAATTTTCAAATATTTAAATAGATTAATTTAGTTTTCGAAGCGTCAATTGAAATTAATTAATGACATGGAAATAAGAAACGGAGTTGTCAATTTTTTTCCACCAAAGATTTAACGCAACTAAATTTTTAACGAGAATTCAAACTTCTACGCATTGAAAAATGTATTAATTCTTTAACATTTCGTATTCGAAGTTCTCTACAAAATAAGGTCATGCAAAAGCTCTTCGAAGTACAAAATAAAAATAATTTAAATACAATCAATAATATCAATTGAATATTTGTGCCGTCTTTTGAAGTGAGACTAATATGACTCCCTACCAATGGTTGAAATGCCTGGTAAACTTTAACAAGGATAGAGACACAAATGAAATTTTTAAAGAACTAAATTAAAACTAAGACTGAAGCGTAAAGATTAAAAGTCAAATTTAACCAAAATAAATATCTGAGTTCTTTCAAACTAAATAAAAACCAAATTGTCACCAACATTTTCAAACTGTGAGAAGGAAAGGAAAAAAGAAAAACAAATGTGGTAAAGGGCAGTATTGGTACAAAAGGTAATAAATCTGAAAATGAACAATAGTTCAAAACTGCAGACTAAAACTGTTGCAGCCACTTTACTTTCAACTCCATTATTTGCCAATGGGGGCAGGACAGTCCATTTGCAGCAAAAA